GCATACATCCACAAATTGCACAAGCAAAACTTAGCAATTGCAAATTATTAATTAAAAATAGCTATACCCAAGCAAGAGAAAATAGTTAGTTTCACCAAGAAACTTAGCAATTGCAATCTCAAATTGCAATAGCTATGACCGTTGAGTCTCTACAGATATTGTGAAGAGAAGAATATGGTAGCTGTGTTTAAAAATAAAATTAGAATGAAAAAAAAAATGATAAAAGGAAAAAGATGCTAAAGGAAGAGCTGGGGAGATGTCGAAGAAAAAAAGAGTGCTGAGAACTTTATTTTGAAAAGATTTGCCCGTAAGTTAAATTTGTCGTGAGTTAATTTAGTTTTGCCAATTGTTTTCCCTCCGTTATCTGGTTGATGAGGTGTAAAAGAAAAGAGTGATGTGGGGGTTTTTAATTGGATTGGGATATCGCTGACGTGGTATCCCGGTGATGCCCTAGACTTTCTCCTGATGATACTAGTTGCTGTCGGGTTGATTGCTTCGAGTGTAATTTTTTTAATTTAAAAAATAAAAATAAAAATATGAAGTGGATAAGATGAATAATTATGCAGTCGGCTATAAACATAGCCATCCTTGTTCAGTAAATATTAATTTAGTTAAATTTTTATCAAAATTTATATTTTAATAAAATGGGTAGTTTGATATTATTTTAATGACTTAATTCAATAATTAATTTATTAACTATCAATTTAATTTAATTTTTGTTTAAAAAATTTGTTTTCTTTCTATATAATCTATAAACTTTGAAGAATATTTCAAATTAATATACTATATAAAGTTATTGTTAAATCTAACGACAAAGAACAATCTCTTAAGTTTTAAAAAAATAACACTATAATCCCAATAAAATATGATGATTCAAGAAATGCTTTATAGAAATAGATTAGTTAAAATTTGTAATAAACTTGAATAACTAACTCAATTCAAATAGAGAAACTTAGTAAGTTTAGAACGAGAAGTTTCAAGAGTAAATATGTTTTACATAACAAACTGTATATAGTTTGTCATGTAAAATTATTTAAATATCTTTAAAAAAATAATATAAAAACAAAATTAAAAATATTTAAATAATTTTACAT